CAAGCTACTTAGTTAATATTTATTGGCGGTAGTTACACATAAAATCTACCAAGTTTAGCCTAACAGCCTTGCTATTAGGCATAGTGGTGGTATTTCTAAATTAGCTATTCGTGAAACGTTGGGGCATTGAACTTACCAGACTGAAAGTGCACTTAATAAAAATATAGCGGTTTTAGCTCTTATAATTTTCTTATATCACAGCAAAACAATATATTAAAAATTTGAACCATGATTTGACTTAATATTTTGTTAATCTAAGTTATAAAATATATGTAATATTAGGTATCACTACGACTGATTTACTCTTATTTAGTAGCTACACCAGTTGGTTATATATTTAATATTTTCTCTATATGAGTATTTTGTTAAATTAGTGCTAATTGGTACTTTATATTAACATACTTCAGGTCAAAAATGTAAAGTAATTATAATATTATTAAATGTTTGAAATTAATTATAATTAATGTTTGAAATTAATTATTTGGTCTCCACAAGGAGATTTAAATTACTCGACATTTAATTCCATATTTAGAAACTTGTCATCCTGACTAATCGATCACATATTATATTTAAATATATTCATTAGTTTACATGATTATATATTTAATTATTTATACTTATATGCCACAAGATTTCAATGAAATTGTTTTATAATATTTTTATTTACGTAAAACCCCAATACTTACTATACCACAATTCTTGCTTGGTAGGTACCTACGTTTTTTGTTTATTAATCCGGTTTCCTAGTTTCTCGATAAAATTACAGAGGAAAAGTAGTTGAATATTGTTATTCTAGTAATTCAGTTAAACCTGTAGTAGCGTTATATTAAGATGAGTAGAAAAATACTTACGTACATATTATGTATATATAAATATGGATTGTTATCGAAATACACTTTATAAAAAGTCGTTTACATAGGTGTGTATGTCTTATCAACTTTATCGACAAGCAGCTTGCTTTGTAAGTACTGTTGCAGTTGAAGGGTGATTCTATGGCAGCGAAATTACATGATACACATATATGATAGTCTAGTGTCTAGTTATTAAAATTTATAACTTCGCGTTTTTCAGGGAACTACAAAATAAATATTATATGCAGTCATAAAAAGAGATATTAAAGAAACGTGCCTATACATAGGGTTAATCTACATAGGTATATCTGTATATCTGTCAAAATTGTTACAATAATGATTTTGGACACCAAGCAATGGACACCGATACCGTAGTAAACCAAGGCAAGACGGCAACGATTTAGATCACTAAGATGATAACCATGGCACGACTAATCTTAGGATGGAGAAAGAAAAGTTGACGGGATTTCTTAAATACACACACCTATATTCCCTAAATTAATGCACACACGCACGTTTTATTTACTCTATCACATTACACGATAAAATAAAAATAAAACAACTGAAACCAATGTCTTATTGTTTCCAATATGTTTTATAAACAACAAACATAGCCACAAGTCTTATAAATATTAAAATCTAGTGTACCCAATGAAAATCTAAAAGCAGGTTAACCAGATTCGTATATTTGTGACTGTATTTCCTAAATAGGAACTGGAACTAAGACCTGATAGGAAGTAGCTGCCTTTGAAGTAAAAGTTCGCGCGTTAATTGGGTAAAGTTGCAACATTTCTCATTGACCTAGTTTGTATCGAATAAGGAATTTATACGTATATACGACCGGAATATATTACTACTTAGTTGGTATGTCTTAGTTTGGTCATAGGAAATCCGAACAGATCTACCTTCTGACGTATCTTTAGTATTTTTCATCTTCTGTGTAGAGATAAGTATGATAAAACCGTACATATGTACAATAAGAATAAGTAATAAAGTATGTATATAAAATTCTACAAATTATAAATTAATAATATTCTAATGAAACATTATTTATTTTTGTCTATTATATATAAGCTCAGAAAACACTTTTTAGTTGATAAGTCTTTCTTTAGCCATGAGAAATCAGAACAAATCTAACTTCTGACATTTCTGTAGTCTTTTTCGTCATTTGTGTAATAAGTGTGCACCTATTGTAAATAAAAAAACAAAAACAGTACATACGATAAAAATAGGTAACACATTTTTGTTGTTGTTTTCTTGTGTATAATTTATAAACTTAGAAATTAGTTGACACATTTTTATTTTGATATAGATTGTTATATACTACATAGCGAATGCCGTGGATTACAACTTGTTATACAACCTATAGGTATATTAAGTAAGTTTACTCATGGCTTTGTTCATGTATCGAGGCGACAGTTACCACTAATCCTAATTCCTTTGACATTCCAAATATTATTATTGACTGTCAGCATATTGTAAATAGACATTAAGTTATTAAACGAAAGTATCACAAGTTGGAAACATTAATAAGGTTCAGAATAATTCTTGATGATACTAAATGGAATACTATGGCATGATTTTTTATATGATTGTGCCAGTTGAAGTAAAAGTCAGTCAATCCAAATATCGGACGAGGTGATCTCCCAGGCGTGCCAATGACGAGTTATTAAAACAGAACAAACGAGAAACGGGTAAAGGTAACAAGTTTTTTATGTACAAATTTCATAATAAATAGCCAGGCGTAATAATAATAACAAAAATTAAAAATCATTATCATATTTATAACTTAACGCTGTGTATTATTGGTCCAAATTATATTTAGACCAGTTATGATTACCTCGGTTTTATGAGTAGTTTAAATTAAAAGAAAACGGTTGTATTGTATAGTTACTGCTTAACGAATGGATCGATTATGATGTGTTTTTTCGTGATCGAGATGGTTTTAAATTGTTCTAAGTTTGGGTTAATTCGGTGGTTAATTGATCATGTTAACCCTTTTTCTTTTTGCTTCTAAAAATAATAGCATAATATTAAATAATTTATTTTTACTATTCAATTGAAAGTTTCATAATCCAGAGATTAGTTCCGGTACACAAAAATACAAGCAAAGTATTCATAATTATATTAGAGATCATTATACATGTTAGCTAGGACCAAGACCTAGTAGTTTCAATTTATATTTTTTAGTATAAAAGCTTTATGTCATATCAATATTAATATCGTCATATCTTGCCAATAAAATATATGTATGGTTAACTATAACTCGTTGACATAGGTATTTGAGTTATTTCCTAGTAAAGCCGCCACAATAGGATAGCTGACATTATCCCCATTCTATCATTTTCCACTACTGCCCCGCATTCGTGGAACTGCGTTAATACGCAGTCGAGTGTATAATTCCAAACTTATCAATACAAAAAAATTGTAGGTATAGAAGTTTGTTTAAAAAATATGTCATATTTGTTTGTATCATTAGATAATTAATTCCACATTTAGTTGTGAGATCTATAAAAGAGTAAATACGTGGTCATTTAGTGAGTAGCTGTTAACAGGTTTCGCAAGTTTGCACTCACACGTTATAATTATATTCTTCTTTATTGTTGCACACAGTCGATCTTAGGTAAATATACCTGAGAACTTGCCGTTTTCGATCCATTCGTTCCATGTTGGTCCTATATTATTTTTTTTAGCGTTGGTGGTCGTTTTAAGGGCCTTAGATAATAAGCCGGAATCCTCATGATTTAAATACATGCACTTATAATTTTCTAATAGTATACATCTTTGTATTATACATTCATTCAACACAGAGTGTGTTGGATTACGAATCAATGCAAAGATGTATTCAGTTTTGTTCGACATACTAGGTAGTAAAATAAATATACATTGTAGTAATGCTTAAAACGACGAAGCTTTACAATAACTGTTTTGTCGTGACTATATTTGTAATAAATGTCTATCAAAAATATCCATGGATCCGTTCAACCTGTCAAACTTTTGTTTATAATAATAACTAGCTATTACTCGTGATAGCGTCGGCTCTTTATCAGATATAAAAGCTTATATTTGTTCTCTCATATAATCTATATTCAAATCAATTTACATTTATACACGTTCAGCCGTTTCGTATAAGTATTCCTCATCTCTAAATTTGTACGAACATGTCTCGTGAATCACACTCAAGTCTAGTAAATCGATATTTTCGGGTCATTGAACCTCACTACCTTGGACTTAAGAGTACGGATGTATATCTCGATTGAAGAAAACTTAATTGGCTTTATTGACATTTTCTCTTGTGTCTTGACATAAGTATAATTTAAAAGTTGTTAACGTGTAAATTGGTCATCAATATACCTTTTAGGGTATAGCCTATGTGTATTAACAACTTCGAGAAAGACATTTTACTTCCCATTTCACATAAATTTATATTTATAGTGGCCTTTAATAATTTTATCTTTATCCAACTAAAGCCTATTTTATTTATTTCTATATTTAATGCAATTTCATTGTTCTATGTCATACCATGTACCTATTATGTCTATATTCATTAATGATACCCACAATAAGACTAGATAATTGAAATATATGAATGATAATATATTTAGATGTTGGTTACTACTTGTTAACATACTTAATAGAATCAAAAATAAAACTTTGATAAAATACTAGTTTTTTTAATGATAATGAAATGCACATTGTGTTAACGGTATATGGTGGCTGGGCACCAGTAGAAGATGATAGAATGAATATGAAGTCGGGTCAAATATCACATCGTAGTGAACTCACCAAATCTTGATTAGATATGCGAATCCTATGGATACTGTGATGCCCGTCGGCTGTTCATATAAATAGGCGACGGTAATTGTTTATCATCAGGTCATCAGCAGACATCTTGCTTGCCACTCCAATTACAAAATAATGCATTTTAACCAAATTTATACGACAAATACAGCCGGACAAGCACCTAAGCTTTTATAACATCAATTATCTAATCATTAATAACACTGCAACAAACGACCAGTATTTTATAATATTTATTAATTATTTCGCAATAGAAACAGGTTCATGTGGATACTAAAAACGTAGTAGCGTGTTTCTTTATTGTTATATTATTCTTCGTTAGTAAATACATAATATTTTTTGTTGCAGACAAATCTCGCCAAAATGGATTTGGAGTTCCGCAACTTAAAGTACACTGTAAACAGTGTTATACCAAAAGGTAAGAAATAATATTTTATTAAAGCCTATACTATACTATACTATATAAAGAATAAAGACTTATATATAATCTGCCTTAAAAAAAATATTTATAAAATCTATATCTACGACATGTATATTTAGAATATTAACAATATCTCACAACTGAAAAAGGTATGTATAAATTATAATAAATGAGGTAAGCACTTGAAAAACGAAATACTCTGTGTTTTTTTATGTAGAAATCAATAAATTTAAAACTTCATCGTAATGAACTATTAAACTTATTGATTTCTAATATCTTATAAACACACAAAATACAAAATAATGTAAAGATGTTTATTTATTCTTTTATTTTAATTCACAACATCCGTAATAATGCGTAATAAATAATTAATTTCCATCCTAGAATTAACAAATAATAAATGTAAATAACATACTTAATAAGTATTCTGTATTGTCTTATTGACATTTTGCTATAGGAGTACATGTATAGCCAGTTTTACGGAAAAATGTCGACTAATGTAGCAATCCTCGTATTGTCTATTAGAGACAGCATGTGTATTTTGAAACAACTACAAATTGGACGTGTGTAAATAATTTACAAAATTGAAGCAATTTTATTCTATGATAGTTGCTTGTACAGACAAGCAATCACGTAAATTTAAAGTAAAACGACAGCCAAGAAATCGGATATTGTAAATCGGGAAATATGATATTCAATGACACTTTTTTTTGTGTATATTGTTTGTAAAATCATAAAATTTCTATGATGCAATGCAATTTCAGAGATTAATAGATTCTTGTCTATACATAATACTTAATTCGCGCGAAAAATCCATTATGATTTTTCGCGCGAATTAAGTATTATGTTACGTATAAAAATCACTCTTTAAAGAAATGGGTTATTAAATTATGTCGAATTACTTACTTTAATTTGGTATCATTTATTTAAATATATTTAAATGATTGTAGACTTTTGTGAAAGAAGCTGAATTCTCTTTAATATTTTGTTTGTTCCTCTAAAAATTTAAGTTACGATTTGTAATGCAAAACAATATAAATTAAATATAGATAAAAGATTACATACATACATTAAATAACAATTATCAGACGTAATACCCAATCAAGCTTTAAATGACAATACATTTCGCAAAGATCACGCCATTGATAAAGAAATATCATTTAACCGTAGAAAAAGATCATAGCTCTGACTGTTTCAAGGTGACCTACTTTCACTGAACGTAACAATAATGGGCTACGCATGCCGTAAAACAGAGCATAAAATTTTCAAATTTGTGAAAATACTGGCTAGTAACAAAAGCTATTTTGAAATTGGAATATGTCGTTCTTTTGTACAATATATTTAGAAGTAATATTATTTACTTTTCTTTTCTTAAAATCAATGAGGTCTAAAACTCTTTTATTAATCTATTGTTATCTATATGTTTTAGGGGCTTTCAATCAACAACGTCTTCATGTAGTATACTCATATAATTACTTGATGATTTTTTTTTTAATTGGATGATAAAAATATTAACCTCTGATGGTATTATTACTTTTTTTTTATATACCTAGGAACTCGCAAATAAAGGTATTGTCGTAATAGAGTAAAGTTTTTGGCCTTTATAAATAAAGCAAGCGGTCCCCTCAATTAGTGTGAAAGGCTTATTTTTTCATATTTAATTTATAACTCTTAATGATAGTTGAAAGTATCATACTATCACTAGGTTTCTAGATCTTGCATTATATATCCATTATTGTCTTCTGACCCCTATCCTACAAGTATAAGAAAACAGACTGGTTTTTTAAAGATAAAATAATCTATGTCCGTAGTACTATTCTCACCTCATTTATTAGTCGTTAAAATATAATAAACAAACAAACAGACAGACACACTTTTGCAATAATAATATTAGTAGGTTTACTATGGGTAATGGGTGAAAAATGAAAACTCTACGTATGTAACCCATACTAATAGGCGAAAGTAACAAAAATTACTCACGCCTCTTGGAATTAGAATTATGTTAGGTCTTTGTGCCATCACACTGTTTACTTACACGTATACGTTAAACGTTACCGGTTTTTATGTACTATTGACAGATCATTATTATTCATTATTTGAGACTACTGGCACAAACAATTAGTTAAGGTTTATATTTCCGGAGAGGGGAACATCTGTAGTAGTAAGCCTCGCCGGGAAACTGCCGTGGTGGATTCCTGTGCAATTCGCCACGTTGGACACGATTGACATATCTTTCTTCTTACTCTACAATCCCGTGAATTTCAAATAAAAGAATTACGAAATATGAAATATAGTCTATCTGTGTACGAAATTTCACTAAAATGGCCAGTATTTTTTTATTACAAAGTAACAAATATCTATCCATTATTTAATTTATTTGCCTAGACTATAGCGATGAGAAGATATTAGGATAATAGTTTCATAACAATAACTTACATAAATGGTATTTTTTTGGCTTCGGTTACTAATTAACTTCTTTTGGTATCTTAATGAAGGTAGAGGTATAAAAGTCGTCTGTGTGAATACTTCAACTCATTTATTTTAGCCGCCAAGTGGCTTACTGGCTGATTGGCATTTGCTTATATTTAATAATAATAAATAAATAACCCTGGTCAATTAACAAAATGTCATCTAGTCCCAAGCTAAGTAGAGCTTCTGTTATGGGTACTAGACAACCGATATAAATACTTAGATTTTTTTTGTAAATACATGTAATGTAAGTACATACATAATAGACATTGATAACACCCAGAACGATACAAAAATTCATACTCATGAATACAAATGTTTGCACCATGCGAGGAGGAGGAGGAAACGAACCCACGACCATCGCGGGTTCGTTTCCTCCTTTCTTCGGAAGTAAAGCGTGCAAAACTGCTAGATCACCGAGGTCGTCGATTGAATATTTGAAGGCACTAAATAGATTGACTTCTATAAAAATAATTATCTAAAAGGTAATTTATTCCGGACTAACTCGCAGATTCAAACCTGTGACTGCATACAATAAATAGTAGACTTATTGCGTGTGTAGCGTTTTATGTGATGCTGTTAATTTTGCAATTAAGACGTTTTGTATGCAACTTAGCTAGTATTCGTCCACTTGACGTTAAGCGGTTACCATAACCTACCGTCAGTTGCAACATCGCTGTGTCACATACGCGTTTGTGACCTCTGAACCCAATTCCCCGAGGATCTAACAACCTTACTTACAATAGGTATAAAATAAAAAAATATATACTTATAACTTCTGAACCCATCTTTTGAGGACCTCTAACAAACTGATCTATATACTGACGGACAGTCGGAGGAAGAAATAATATATGCATAAAATATAATGCAGCTACGGTTATATCCGATTAGGTATTTGCAATAGATTAGTAATATTGTTAACTGTTGAAGTGGTGTTTTGTTATGATATACTAGCTCTTACCAGCGGCATCGATGACTTTGAATATTTTTTTATTTTTTAAATAAAAAGTATCCTATGCTTATTCTAATACCTCCAAGAACATGTGTACAAAATTTTATGTTGAACGGTTCAGTAGTTTTTGCGTGAAAGCGTAATAAACATTCCTATATATATTAAGGATTTATGGTAACCAACGACGGTCACCTTATGGCAAGTGGTAATCATCACCTATATACATAAATATCACCACGAACGAAGCTCTAAGAAGTATGCTTCCACCTGTTATTTCACTGCCTAATTTGCACCTTACAACCGAAATACAGCTTCTACATCAAGCTGCTTAGGTGGCTGAAAATGGTGAATACGAGGTAACCACGCAGACGACTTTGGTGAACTTATATCTGTCTATTATTCTTATATCTTGAATTAATATAGTTAAACCTTGTTTACTACCATAATATGGATGGAAAACCGAAATAAATGAATGAATAAATAAATATACACAATTCACACGGTTTGTCTGAATCAAACGTCGTAGAAGATAATGTTATCACTGCTTATTGAATTGGTTTGGTTTGTAGTTACCGTTTCTATTACCGGAAACAGGAATATAAATTGTCTTTCATGTTTTTAAATGTAAGACAGATTTAAAGTCACGGCCACGATGATATTTTTAATTACATAGTACTGCTACTGTTATTCAGCCTGCATATTTTTATGTTTATTGTTTCGTAAATTCTGTCGTATATAAATTGACCAGTCTATTAATATAAATTAGGCAACTTTTGTATACTTGTAATTTATGCCGTGATCTATGAGCAAAGATCGTATACGTGACTAAGACTGTGGGTGTTTTTTGCGTCTCAATTCGCCTTTTTATTAGGTAGGTACATTTCATTGTTTTTGTCTGAATCTAAAGTAATGAAGAGGAAATTTTTTATTTTTTGTTTGTGAGTAATGGATACCTAAACGCTAGAAATACAGGAATGATTTCAAAAATTCTTTTACTTATTATTATCAGAGAATATGCCAGCTTGTTTTTGTTAAGTAATTTTAATGGTTTGTTGTTAATCGCTATTTAGATACCATATTGTAAAGATCAAAATGATTGGAGACACTTACTTTGTATTAACACGGACATAAAATACAATGTTATAAAAGTTAATTTACTAGACTCCAATCCATCAATTACAACGTAATTTCTTGTGAATTAAGACCAATAAGGTTCTACAGTTGTTTTCTTTATATAATTTGTTTTTTTTCGTCCAGTAACGCTGTAAAAGTTAGCTGCGGCCAACAATATTCTACAATAACTTGAAATAAAAAACCCTTTATTTTGTCCTTAAACTAAAATAATTTGATAAACATAAAAGTGAGAATTTTCATAAAGCAGTGAGAGATGCTTTTCGAAATATACTTATTCAAGTATATACAAAGGAAAATCACTTTATCTCATCAACACAGCATAAAATCATCATAATTATGTTGATTACAAGAAAGATGACACGTTTATAAATGTATATTATATATGTATGTACTATGTATACATATATATGTCCTACAATATTCTATACCAACATCTAGTTGA